GACTCGCTAATGTAAGCTTGCACCTTGCAAGGCGCATCTTTGTGCACTTTGTACACTGACTCGACGTTATCACACACGTAATCGTTTTTTACATGTTTGCATTGATCCAACTGACTTCTCGTTACGATTGAATATGTCTGCCTGTTTACGTCCACCGCGATTATCTGATTTTTGATCTGAGCTACCGTAAACACGTTATCGTGGTCGTGCACCGGTAGTGGCACTACCCTAAATACGTTATACTCTACAGATTTTACCAGAGGAAACTTGACAATAATGTACATACTCGCATCTTTACAATAAACGCTAACTGTTTCATACTCCTACATACTCCTTAATAACTGGCCAGTTCTCCAGAGTTACAGCAAACGGGAAATGCAACCCGTGGGTTGACCAACTGCTCGCGTCCCGGAAACTTTTTAATATTAACTCGACGGGTACTACTTCTAATTGTGCGAATTTCGTTTGTACATCCGTGATGTACCCCATGACGCTTTCCACGTCAAACTCGAGTTCGGTGATTACGCTTCCTAGCTCCATAAAATACTCGATTAACTCCGCTTGTCGTGCGTAATCGTCCACCTTTTGAGTTATCTCCAATACCGCGTTTCTTAACTGAGTTTCGTTTTTCTCGACTATTTCTTCCACGTTTTGTACGTGCGCGATTGTTGCGTTTACAACCTGCAACTGATTTCTAATCACATGTTGTAGCACCGTCTGTTTTTTACTTAACAACTCTATTTGCTCCGATATCTGTTTTTCGTCGTCGGCGTCCATAGTGCCAAACAAAATTTTTGCGACAGAGCCTACCACGTCCACTTGCCCTCTTCGGTAACGCGTTGGTGTACTTACGATTGTCTTAACGCGTCTGGCCAGTCTTTCTACCTTTTGTAAACTCTGCAACAAAACCTTCGCAAAATTCCCTACTTTCACGAACTATCGTTATGTTTTCGCATGTTTCCTTTGTATCTCTCAACATGCGTTCCGCCTGTTCAACTCGCGTATATATCGTAGATACGTTTAATCTTACGACTAATCTCCACTTTTCGCTGACGTGGAGCATCGTTCCGTACTTCTCGTAGTACATGCCGGGATTGTGTTGAAATTTTCGTATGTGGTATCCTTGGTCCCCGGGTCTACTTCACGCGACGCAAAAAGTAAGTATTACTACTTTTATTAACAACATTTTCCTGCAAGCAAAATGTTTTATACAATACGCCTATGCATTATGCTTTACTTTTATCGCGAACGGTGTGGCTTAACAGGTGGAACCGCGAGCGTTGGTCGTACTTCGAGTTCGTTACTCTTGCCGCCTAAGCTCTTTTTATCGCTTCTTATTTTAATTCTAGGACTTATATTTGAGACGTCCCGTGATCGTCTTTTGTTCCTCAGGACATGGTTTCTTATGACAACGAGCATCAGTTTTACCCCGTTCGCCATTAACTCGGTAACTACAGTGTTCTAGTTTTTTTTGTGTTGTGACAACTTAGTGTAAGTGTTTGGTTACGGAACTTACAAGTATGCCTTCTCTTTTTTTCACCAAAACTTTGTTATAGTGTTTACCATGTCGCGGTTCGTTTATTCCTTATGTACCGACGACAGCGCGGAGGAATCTTCTTCCCGCGACAGTGCGGAGACGTCATTCACCAACTCCGAGGACTCGTCCGGGGTTTCTACCCTTTCACGCCCTGCCACGCCCCACACCCTCGAGGGCCCGCCGCCGTCACCTCCGGGCTTTCTGGAGGTAACATTCCTCTGCTCGCGGCCTCCGCCGCCCGCTTCTTCCGACCCGGAGGACAACAACGACGACGACGTAATTTGCCTGCGGCCTCCGCCGCCCATCGTCCACCCCCTCATCGTTCTGTCCGACTCAGACGATGAGTGAGGCAACCCGGTAAGTTCTTTTTTTTAAATGAATGAATAGTAAAGGCTCGTGAAATTGTCAAACTAAGAATGAAACAAGGCCGATACGAGCCATTCCNAGGATGTTGTGCAGGAATAAACGTGCATGTATATATATATACACATGTATGAAATTCTCATGTAAATTATTTTTACATGTGAGTTTTTTTAATTGAAATTTTCAATTCTTAAAATCATATAGGATGCTAGATTTGCATCNCATATATGAAAGATCCCAAATACCCCCCTAACTAAGGGAAGGCGATGGCACGGAAAGCCGGAGATTCCAGGTTCGACTCCTGGCCGAGGAGTTTTTTTCTTTTTTTTAAATTTTCTATGAAGGCTTTCAGCCTATTCACGTGCACATTCTGCGTGCGCCGTCCTACTTTGACTGCATACGTCACGTCTGACGTTTTCGCGACTATTACATAAGGTCCTATCCACTTTGACTCTAATTTCTTAGACCTGCCTCTTCTCAGCGTTTCATCGTACAACAAGACTTTTTCCCCTACTTTAAACGTCGCTGGTTTAGCTTTCTTATCATAGTAACGCTTAGCCTTTTTTTTTCTTTTTTGAGTTTTTCCCGCGCTACTCGATTTGTCGCCCGCAATCTCTCTTTTAACTCTTGTGCGTAATTTTCTAAATTATACTGCGTAGACGGTGGTTTTGTTAAGGCGGTCGGTAATTCCGCGCACCTCCCGTACACCAATTCGAAAGGTGAATATCCCGTTGCCGTGTGTGGTGTCGTATTGTACGCGAACATTGCATACGGCACCCACTCGTTCCAATCTGTCTGGTCCTCGTTCACGTAGTGACGTATATACTCGGCCAGCGTCCTATGCGATCGTTCTAACGCTCCGGTACTTTCCGGATGATAGGCCGTTGTTTGTATCTTATTAATTCGCAGTAACTTGCAAACATTTTTAATTCGCTTACAAAGTTTGTTCCTTGATCCGTTAAAATTGTTTCCGGAATCCCGTGTTCGTACACAATTTTCGTCGCGAACTCTCTTGCTACCGTAGCGGCTTCCTGATTCGGAACGGGTATCGCCTTACTAAATTTCGTGAGACCGTCTTGAAACGTTAGCAGATACTTATTTCCGCTACTCGTCACTGGTACTGGTCCAACAATATCAAGCGCACAATTTTTGAAAGGCTTTTTCGGTGTATCTGTAATTACTAGTGGTACTTTTATTTTCCGCAAAAACTTATTCTTTTGGCAGGATTCGCATTTTGAAATATAATTCTCCACGTCGCTCGTCAGCTTAGGCCAGTCGTACTTCATTCTTATTCTTTTTATTGTACGTGCTACTCCTTGATGTTCGCCCACCGGTGAATCATGATACTCGTATAGTATCTGTCTCTTTTCCTCTTTGGTTAGCTCTTGCCTCTCGCTCTTCTCTTCTTTTGTTTTCTCGCTCTCCTTTGCTTCGCACGTGCATGCCTCCGTGGGAGCTCTATTCAGCGCGTCCGCGTTGGTATTCGCCTTCCTTTTCTTATGCATGATCTCATAATTATATTCTTCTAATTTCAAACGCCATCGCACGAGCTGCGATCCTGGGTCTGTTACATTAAAAAGCCACACTAGTGCCTTGTGATCGGTGATAATCTTGAACTTCGTTCCGTACAAGTAAGGCCTGAAATGCTTTACCGCTCACACAATTGCAAGTAACTCCTTTTCCGTCGTGCTGTAGTTTTGCTCAGCCTTATTCAGTACTCGGCTTGCATATGCAACCGGCCGGTCCTGACCTACCGCACCTTGCGATAGCACCGCGCCGACCGCGTAACCCGACGCGTCGGTTGTGACGATAAACTCCTTGTCGATGTCCGGATACGTGAGCAACAGAGCGCTAATTAATTTTTCTTCTAAATTCTTGAATGCTTGCTGTTGCTTGGGCCCCCACTCAAACGCTACTTTTTTTTGTAACACTCGTGTCAACGGCTTTGCTACTTTTGAGAGCTGGTCGATGAATTTTCTGTAGTATCCTGCCAGACCAATGAACGCCTGTATATCTTTTGCTTTTTTCGGGACCGGAAACCCCTTGACCGCCTCTATTTTTGACGGATCCGGCGATATACCCTTCTCGGTGATCACGTGCCCTAAATATGTGACCTCTTTGCAAAAAAATTCGCACTTGTCCGGCTGCAACTTTAAGTTGTACTTCCGCAACCTGTCAAAGACCTCTCGTAGCCGCTTGCTGTGCTCTTGCAAGCTCGCACCGTGTATCACGATGTCGTCGAGATACACAAAACACTTTATACCCCGTAGTCCCATGACAAGACTGAGTTCATCAACCTTTGAAATGTCGCCGGCGCGATTTTCAATCCAAAAGGCATTTTATTGTACTCATAGTGACCATGCGGCGTTGAAAACGCCGTCTTACCTCTGTCTTCTTCGTCCATTGGTATCTGATGATACCCGGACGCCAAATCTAACGTTAAGAAATACTTCGCTTTCCCAAGTTGATCCAGTATTTCCGCAATATTTGGCAGTGGAAAAGAATCGCCTATTGTCGCCTCATTTAGTCGACGAAAATCTACGACTATTCTTAATTTTCTCACGCCGGACGCGTCCATTTTTTTCGGAACTACTAGGAAAGGTGCGTTTCACTGACTTTCACTATCGCGTATTATTCCGCTTTCTAGTATTTCCCCGATTTGTTTTTCTACCTCCTGCTTATGCTTCTGCGGCAACCTATATGGCTTAACGTTTATAGGAGCGGTGTGTCAATTCTCACAGGTACTCTATGCTTCACCGCGCTTGTTTTAGATAGCGGCTCCCCTGCAAGGTGGAATACGTCTTGATACTCCTCACATATCTCGTATAATGTTTCTTTCTCTTCTTTATTTAAATGCTTCACTCGCAGTGCCTTTTTTACTCTTTCGCGGCGCGTTGACCTCTCCGTTTTTATGCTTACGTTTGCTACTTTGCTACTTGTCACACTCTCTTCTTTTAGCGCTTCCAGTTTAACATGCGGAGTGCCTATATTTTTACCGTTTTTTCCGTAGTATTTATTATACTCACGGGGCAAAAATTTTCTTTTGGTTGTACCAAACAGCTTCCTATAAAAACTCCTGGTTGCGTCTCTTTTCCTTATACTATGCCGACCTGATTACCATCAGTAACAGCTTGTGCACGATTGTTTTGCTACGAGGTTGCAATTCTATACTTTTATATGGGCGCAACTGTAACGTGTTTTTTCCCAGCAAGAGTTTTTCCGCTCTGTAATCATGCTTGGCATTGTGCTTTTTTATAAAGTCATTTCCTAAAATGCTTTGATAGCTAACTGGGAAATCGTCTCTCACAACGTAAACCGGATGCTTAATATTTTTGTCTTTTAGCTGTATGGTTGCTGTGATTTTTCCTATGACGCATGCTTGATGCCCTGTAACGCCTGTCAGTTTCGTGCTCGTCTTCTCGGCTGGCGTTTTCCTTTTTAAGTATTTCTTTTTGATCAATGTCACTGTTGCTCCAGTGTTATAAAGCAATTCTGCTTCGCCTTTCTTTGCTTCTCTCATCGGTACAGTGACCAAGTCCAGAACTGCTTGCGCAGCATTTAGCTCGGCTACCTGTAGTTCTGCCACTGACACGGATTTTTTCTTTCCTTTTCCGTTGTCCTCTTCGTCACTCAATGACTCGCTATTGTCACTTCGGCTTTTCTTTTTCTTATNTTTTGCCGCACATATGGCTTTTGCAGCTCCCTTTTTATTTTTCCTGCCGCTCAGTGACCAGCAATTTTCTTTGATATGCCCTGCTTTCTTGCAATAACTGCACGTTTTGTCCACAGCATTTACCCTGCTACTGCTCGGTTTTGGCAGTCGGTCTGTTCTGCTAGACCGACACTCTCTTCCGTAATGTCCGATCTTTCCGCACTTAAAGCATTTGTAGTTTTTATTGCTACCACGCGCTTGCGCTGGCATGCGGCTCTTTAATTTTATTCCTGCAACTTTTTTTTCTGCGCTTGCTCCAGCTATGGCTTCCTGAAGCGTACCGTATCCACGCGAACGTACTATCAATTTAAGTTTTTTGCGTAAGCCTATTTGGAAATGGTGCAGTGCCTGCTCCTTTATTGTTTCCAATATTGTGCGTTTTTGTTCCATAGTACGTACTTTTCCTTCATTCATAGACTCATACAACTCCATAGCGAGTTGATTCACGCGCTGCCCGAAATTCAACGCGTTTTCTTCGTGCTTCTGTTTAAGAGAGCTAAACTCTATTTGCAACTCAGTCGTATCTTTTTTGGCTGAGTACGTATTTTCTATCTCGCTTTTTAACTGTTCGAAACTATGAATATGTCTCGTCTCAAAATCTAATAAAAAAAGCTTGTCCCTTCCCTTTAATGCATAATATTGCTTCTAATAAAGTCCGCTCGTTGACCGGAGTAATATTTTTTATCGCATATGTACACGCGCTTAAAAATTCTCGTAACTGCGCTTGTGACTTCCCGTCAAACGTTGGTATCATGGCGCGCGCTTCCTTCAGTGTTATGTAACCAAATAAGTGTGCGGTCTGATTATGTACGTCGGCGGCCGTTCGCCCATACGTCACGTCAAACTCATTGCCGCGCTCCGGCGGATCGTCGTCCCCGTGCGCTTGTGTTCTGCGGCGTTGTACGCGTAGTTCACTTACATAGCGGGTTACCGTATCCATGCGTGCATTCATTAATTCAAAAGAACGTGTTAGCTGACGCAGCATTACGTCCGCTCGGTCCCGCAGCCCCACGTCCCGCGGCATCTCTCGCTCCTAACTCGTTTCGCATCCTGTCGATCTCCCGCTCGACATCTTCGCGAGCCCGACCTATGACCTGCTCGTCATTTACCTGCTCTATTCGGTCAGCATCCATCGCGTTTCTTCGGAACAACTCACTCTCGTATGAAACTAAAGAAGACCTCTGAGTACCACTGCCCGGGGTTCCACTGTTCTCAACTCTACCGCAATTTATTACACTCTGTAAATGACCGGCTATACTACCGTCTAAATCGAATAGAAATTCTCTTTCTATAATCACATTCGGATACAAATTCCTATCTTGCCTGTTTACTTCTGCTTCTTGATAAAGCGCCGCCGGTGCGGTTTTCGGTTCCTGTACCGGTAATAGACTTCGTAACGACCGCGCTAATTGCTCAGATTGTACGCCGCATTGTTGCAAACGCCAGTTACCGAACATATGTATCGCTCGCTTTTACAAAATATTTACTCGACTTACAGTAATTGACCTAATTCCGCTTACGAGAGTTGTATCTGTGTGGTGTTGCTGACTCAGCTTTCCTCGCGCCGCTGCTATCGCTGCCTCGCCGCTTTGCTGGTTCGTTGTTTCGATGCTTCTCTGCTCCGCTGCTACCGCTGCTTCGCCGCTACCGCTGCCTCGCTTGCGTTGGCTGCCTTGTCACCTTTGCTGCTTTTTTCGGCTGTCCTCTGCTGCTTCCTTGGTGCTCTTCCTGGCCCTTCCGTCACAGCTGCTTGCTGCTCCCGGCGGTAGATTTTGTTTGCGTTCTGCTATTGCAGTCCGGCCGCTTTTTTATCTCCGCCTTGTGTCACTGCCCGTCGCTTGGCTTGCGTTAGGTTAGTGTTGCCGTATAACTCGAGACTGTGAGTTCGCAGTGTCTTTCTTCTTCTTTTGAATGGTGTATAAGACACTCTTTAATGACAGGTTTTATTTTCTTTTTGTTTCAGGAGCAATATTTACTAGAACGAGGATTCCAATATATATATTTTGCACACACATATATGTTTCTATACTTTTTTTAAATACACCCCTTTTCAACTAGAACTCAACTGTTCTTGTTTTTTTTTCTCTTCTTTCTCACCCAGTGTCCGTTTCCTTGTTCCAACCGAAATCTCCTGCAGAGTCCCGTCTTTGACACACGGAATGAGAGATCCCACCGCTGCCCCCAAAATTTGTTGGATGTCGAGGAGGTTGGATGGTGAGAAGAATAAGTTCTATACTTGAACTTATTAAAATATCCTTTATTGCTCCTGTTCCTTACAATGTTTGTTACACGGCTGTTTCTCATTGCAGTAAACTTTCCGGCTTGCGGAGCCGCACAGTGAGCTAGCAGTCGGTTCACAGACTCTGCTCTGCTTCATCCGCGCGATCGATTTATAGTAGATCAATCGCGCCGATTCAGCAGGCCCACCGGTCCTAACAACGACCGTGTTAGTTACCTGTGCCGGTGTCGACACATGCTGCGTTGCACTTCGGACAATGCGGCAATGTGTCGCATCCTGTGGCAACCAGCAGTTGTTCCTAGAACTGCTGTTGCCCCGCAGCCTAAACAGGTCATTGAGCAATGACAGTGATGTCTCATTACATTGCTCAATGGCCTCACCTACTTAACTTTTATTTTAAAAACTGCAACACAACAACATACAAACTGCACAACTTTTTATATGAAAGAATTATTACTACGATCTGCCGCCATACGCCGTAAATTCAGTCGATAAAACAGATTCAGTTTAGGATCTCTTTAAGTAAAAAATCAGAATCCGCAAAATAAAGGAAAATATGATGAATACACATGTTTTAAATGCGGAAAGCATGGACACTTCGGTCGAGATTGCCGAGCAAATATCTATAATAAAGACACATGTTTTAAATGCAAAAAGCATGGACACTTCGGTCGAGATTGCCAAACAAACAAAATAACGTTGCCAAAAGCAAGCAGCAGAATGAATGCCGTTGAAAAATACTGCAATTATTGCAAAAAGGCAGGACATTTAAGAAAAATTGCTGGGCCCTGAATGACAAAAAAAACAGAAAGTATCCAGGAAAGAAACCAAAAAATACATCACATAAAAAGCGTAATACAAAACAGATTTAAAGTGACAGCAGCGACTCATCCGAGAATGAAGAGGATAGAAGCAATAAAAAGAAAAAGGCTATAACGGTGGCAGAGCTTCAAATTACAGAGATAAACGCTACGCAAGTAGGTTTGGACGTTGTAAGAATGCCAATTAAAAAAACAAAGCGTAGGAAAGCAGAATTACTGTATGACACGGGAGCTTCAGTGTCACTTATTAAAAAGAAATGTTTAAAAGGGGAAGTTCGTGTAGGACAGGAGGCGTTGGTTCTACACCCTTATAAAAGCATAGAAATACCATCAAGATGTGAGGCCATTTTACAAGCAATAGCGAATAGCAACCAGGTGGGATTAATTGAAGCAGAAGAGAAGCAGCCAAGAGTATTTATCGGTAGTTTTCTCGTACAGCCAAAAAATTATTTATGTCCCGTAAGCATAATTAATACAACCGAGCAAAGTGTAAAACTGCAGATTCCACATGTAAAAATTGAGCCATTAACAGACATTTACGGGAGCCTGGAAATGAACATGGTGAAGAACAAGCTCAATGGCACGTCAAGAAAAAATAAAGAAAATGTTGCAAGTACAACATTTGAATAAAGAAGAAAGAAGAAAACTTTACGAGTTAAGCAAAGAATATAATGATATTTTTTACTTAGCCGGGAAACCGCTGAGTAAAACAAGCGCGGTAGAACATCAGATTCCGGTCAAGGCCAATACCGCGCCGATTAATGTAAGGCCATACTGACTACCGGAGAAGCATAAACAAGAAGTCGATAAACAGATAAGAGAAATGTTGGAAAATAAGGTAATTCGGCCTAGTAAGAGTCAGTGGAATGCGCCACTTTTGGTAATACCTAAAACAAATGGATGCATCAGGAGTTAAAAAACTGAGGATAGTGGTAGATTTCCGACGTCTGAACGACGTGACCATTGGAGATTTGTTCCCTCTGCCTAACATAACGGAAATCTTGGATCAGCTGGGAAATACTAAGTATTATAAGTTCCACGCTGGACTTCGCGTCGGGGTATCATCAAATACCCACGGAAGAAACAGACTAGTGCAAGACAGCATTTTCGACACTGTACGGGCATTACGAGTATAATAGAATGCTCTTTGGTTAGCCACGTTTCAGAGACTGATGAACTCGGTTTTGTCCGGGTTACAAGGCATAAAATGTTTCGTATATCTAGACAATATAGTGAATATGGAGCCAGTCTGGAAGAACACAGTAAGCGACTAAAAGATGTGTTCGAACGACTTCGGGAAAATAATCTGAAATTACAGCCGGATAAGTGTGAATTTTTCCGGAAGGAAGTCACATACTTAGGGCACATTATTACTGAAGATGGGATAAAACCAAATCTGTCAAAAATAAGTGCAGTAAAAGATTTTCCTGTGCCAACAAAAGTAAAAGATATACAGGCTTTCATAGGATTAGCAGACTATTATCGGAAATTCATTGACCAATTCTCAAGAATTGCAAAACCTCTGACTCAGCTAACACAAAAAAGAGTCAAGTTCGAGTGGGGTCAAGAACAGCAGCAAGCGTTCGAGGTATTAAAAAAAAAATTGAGCAGCGCACCTTTGCTAGCGTATCCGAATTTCACACAGGAATTTATCGTTACACTCTACGCATCAAGTTACGCAATGGAGCTGTCGGAGCTGTCTTGTCACAAGGCCCGATAGGACAAGATAAGCCTATCGCATATGCAAGTCGAGTATTAAACACCGCCGAACGGAACTATAGCACTACAGAAAAAGTGTTATTAGCAATCGTGGGTCGTTAAACATTTTCGACCATATTTATATGGTGTAAAATTTAAGATCGTAACGGATCACAAAGCGCTTGTATGGCTATTCATTGTCAAAGACCCCGGATCACGATTAATTTGTTGGCGATTAAAACTCGAGGAATACGAGTATAAAATAATATATAAAAAGAGGAAAGCTAACACCAATGCAGATGCATTAAGCCGGAACGTCGAACAAACAGAAATACGAGGTGTGATCAAAAAATAAGGTGACTTTTCAGATTTATAAAAAAATATTCATTTATTTATCCAAAATTATGTTATCCCCTTCAAAATAATTTCTCTCTGATACAATGCACTTGTGCCAGCGCTTTTTCCAGTCGTCAAAACACTTCTGAAATGCACTTTTGGGTATTGCTTTGAGCTCCTCCAGCGATGCAGCCTTAATCTCCTCAATTGTCGCAAATCTTCGTTTTTTCATGGGCCTTTTCAATTTTGGAAAGAGGAAAAAGTCGCAGGGGGCCAAGTCTGGTGAATACGGTGGCTGAGGCATGATGGTAGTATTGTTTGTGGCCAAAAAACAAAAC